AAGACTGACAGTTCAAGTTATGTTGTTTCAGATAACGCAGTACTGTCTCGGCAGCCCAGATATCCATCACAGTAGCATGCTTTGTCATAGTCCTTATACGAAGGTAGTCCTTAAATTTCAGAAGCCATGCTACAGCCTTTTTGAGACGGTACCACGATGAGTAGTGTGTCAGAAGTCTGTCAATCGGGTCGTCTGCTGGTTTGGTTTCAACAACACACGTATTTGCTTCAGTGCGAACTTCTTTATCATCAGTCGATACCTTGGCATGTTGGAAGCTCCGGCCATTCAAACTCGTCCTGCCACAGGAATTCCAGCCCATGTTTCCATCGTTGCTTGGTAACCATTTTAGAGACGTGTAACCCCCGGGAAACATCATCAGCAGGGTTCAACTTTCCATCTTCATATCTCCAAATCTCAGGAGTAGAACCGCCGTGTAACACCGCAACGCGATCCGCGACAAATGTGTGGAAACGTCTCTTCTTGTTTTTGATGTATTGCAGAACAATCACGCTATCTGACCAAAACACGTTCTGTCAATCGTAAGACTCAATTCGTCACACAGAATTTAACTCGCACAGCAGCAGAAAGTTCCAATCGCGGTATTGTCATTTGCCGAACAGGAGCAAGTCAAGACTTTCCCAGAAGAAATGCACAGTGATTATCTTGATTGCAGTTCATCGCATGGATGTAAGAAACTGCTCCATAAGCTTCGTGGGAAGCATCACAGAATTGATTAAGTTCTACTTTTACTTCAGAACTCAAACTGTCTGGCATAAGACAACGATCTATCTCAAACTCATTCAGCTTTGGTAACTTCTTCAACCACTTTGACCAAGACTTCTTACTTTTGTCATCTAAGTCATCATCCCAGCATTTGTTTATATTGCATTCAGACTGAAGAATCTTTTTTGCTTTAAGAACGAATGGACACACGGATCCCTAAAGGATCATATACTGAGCTTGTAAAACTCAAAACGATTCGTTTTATGAAGGATGTATCTCGCTCTTTGCTTTTGATTCCAAAAGTGTCAAGTTCAATGCTCCAATGAACACCAAGTGATCTTTTAGTCGTCAATTATCCACAATGCAGTTCAAGTTCGCGCTTGTCTGTAGCCCGTTCTCCTAATGAAACGCTTTCCATAACAGACTTGCTATTGGAGACCCATTTGGTAAGCCGAAAGCCCCCTAGCGACGTTATATGTCTCAATTCACAGACAAGTTTCACTTCCCGTTCTCTACCATCCACGGACTTAAGGCAATCATCAACATAAAAAAACTGTTCAACACTGTAATCAGTGCCCCAGAATCAAATGCTGGCGCGTTTTCTACGGCGGTACGCCTTAATGCAAAGTTCGTGCAACTTGGACTCCAGACGCTTCCGAAAGGATGAACAGTCATACGATACGTCGTAGGTTGGCGTGTCAAATCACCATCCCTCCACCACAAAAATCCCAATACATCACGGTCTCTCGGATGAACCTTAACTTAGTAGAACATTGCTTCAATGTCCGCCATAAGTGCAATGGTACGCTCACGAAACCTCAGTAGAACGCCCAACAACTTGTTTGCCAAATCCGGTCCTTGAGCCTTGAGATGCGATCTTGTTCAAGGATGTGCTCTTACATTCTGCAGCACAGTCGAAGACAACTCTTAATTTGTCTGGCTTGTTTGGATTGAAAACGGTGTGATGTGACAAATACCAGATCTCCTTTCTCAGCATTGCAGGTTGATATAATACATTCAGCGTTACCTTTATCAAAAATATTGTTAACTTCATCAGTATAACTCCTATGTAGATCAATATCTTTAGCCAAACGTTTACTCAGGTACTGAATTCTTTTTAGTGTCAACGATGTGTTGTCCGGCAAGTGTGGGCTTTCTTCCATAAAAAGAATGTGGGGTTCTTAATGCTTCCTTTTGAGTAATGGAATCGTTCCACACGTTCAAAACTCTCTTATCGTTTACCGATATCTCTAGCACACCACCGGCTAGGACCTGGCCTATATTAAGCAACCAAAACCGTTCTACCTTTGCTTAAAGACCCACATCCGAATCCGATTTGACGTAGACAAAATGAGACGCAGATGCCATATGCAAGTCCTCACAAATGTTGCCAAGGGGATCATGTTTAGCTCATCCAAGTGGTGTTCGTATGGCATAAGGCTCTCAATCCTTACCTTGGCGTACCTCAACACCCATTAAGCCTTTTGAAACATCTTGACCAATGAGCAGCTTTACACTTTGACTCTGTGGTACTGAGACGTATTTCAGGTGACTCCACTTATAAACGTCTGACGATGTCGCAACACCTCCTTGTAATGACATGAAATCCTCTAACGAGTAAACTCTCGGTAAGCAAATAACCTCATGACATTACCGTTTGCCCACAGTACTCATTACCTCCAGACAAACTTGTTCAACTTGCAAGTCCTTTCCATCGTTCAGTTTTCAAATTTAGAGTAGTAGGTTGACCACTTACTCCAAGCTGTTTCACAAGTTCATTTGAACAGAAAGGCTTGCTACTACCAGGATCCAATCACGCGTTATTCCTTAAAAAATCACTGTGGCTTTTTTTTCCGAACAAGGATAGTCACGATAGGAAGTGACACTTGAGAGCTTCAATCTTGGAACAGAAGTTGGCAATGCAGTGGCATTTTGCTGTGATTGTGTTTCTGAATTTGGCCTTAGATATCCATCTTTACTGACCGAAAATTTCATTTTACAGTTGTCTATGTTGCACTTTTGATGACTGCTTGCAAAACTTGGCGGCATGATTTCTATATTACATAGCAATTAAAGCACAGTTTATGTTCTTTTACAACATCAAGCCGTTTCGCTGGCGCCAAGTCAAGGAATTTCTTACAAGTGTTCATTTGGTGACTACCACCGCTGCATATGAAGCATATATACACTTACATACTAGAGTCAGCAGATTTGTTTAAGGTATTCATGGGCCTATCATTGTCAGTACCATGTACACTAAAACTGGTACAATCCCGTTTCGTCAGTTTCGAATTTAGCTTCACATCCTTGCGCTCATTCTGGTCAACATTCCAAACACTTGATCCAAGAGTTCCTTAGCGACTGTTTCCAAAACTCTTCCTTTAATGTACAATGGTAACCGCGATACAGTTTTCACCATACGACAACGAGAATCTATTCTGCCAACATGTTCATAGCCTTTAATGTTTCCATATATGCTTTGACATCATCAGCCAGGTCGCGAGCCCCCTGTGGAATGTTTGGTTCAATACCATAAAATTGTTCCCAAATCGTTCTTTTAACATTATCCTAGCCTGTGTGTAGTCTGCGATTGGTTTCATCATAAAACATGGGTTAATGACTTGTGCAGGTACCGTTACAATGCTCAAACAGTCTATTAAGTTTGACTCTATCACCAACCCTTGACTGTCCGACACTAGCATCAAATGAATTCACAAACACCCAATAATCTAATGGGTTTCCATCAAAAGTGACGAGACTGGTCTTTGGAAGGCGTATCACATCAAGTAGTCTGAGTTCATAATCACTTCTCGGTTGAATACAGGAGCTTTTGCTCAAAACTTTCGCCCGGACTCCACCAGATGTCTGCTTCCTACCGCCTGACAAGTTAAATTCTTGGGTGCGACTAATTTCGGATAAAAGGTCGACGTGTTGGGATTAAGCTAGTTGGACTCTTGTTTCATAACATCAACCTTTGGTCTGACATCAAAATATTTAGTAACTTGATTGTCCCGTGATTTCGCATAGGTGTATTTGGACAACACTTATTTTTCCGCGTTTGCAGTTTGAATCTCAGTCTGTAGCTTAAGCCTTTTCAAATTTTACTCGACTTGCAATTGCTGGGACTCTAGGTTCATATCCTCATTAAGAAAAACCTGCTTTAGCTTCAAGCATAGCTTGTTTAGCTGCGGCCTCTGCTAAAGCACTAGATGCGGATGAAGCTTTGGAGCCAGTCTTTGATCCTCTTGATGATACCCTAGCAACACTGTTATCAGACTTCACTTAATTATTATCTCTCTGTTTTAGCTGCAGTATAGTTTGGTATTTTGTGTTTGCACCTTGGACCTTTCGGAGCACGTCAGCAAACTGTTGCTCACTCGATGTTACCTTAGCTTGATCAATATTAACCGCCATGTTAACAGATTGAAGGTTCTCAAACTTGTTGAATGCCTCCTGGAGGCTTTCCAAGCGACCCCTTCAGAGTCGTCATTTCCACATTATTGTGATCACTCGACACATCGAATTCACGCAGTTTACGAGTATCTGACCCAGCATTTCCAGCACGAAAAGCATACAATCATCAGTAGTTGTTGTCACGCTAGGTACTTTTATCTACACCAATCAATATCTGTATCACGTGGAATATATTCCATCGATTTTGAAAATTAGTCGCCTCTTACGATCATGCAATGGGGGCAGCAGGTACAATTTTTACGCCCTACCTGCAATCAATGTTGACGTTTAAACGTTAAAAACCAGTTTTTTTTATTTAGTTTTGCAGAATTCTTAAAATAGTGTCCATAATGGCAACTCAAACGGAATATTTGATTCAATTTTTGAGAGGTACGTAAGTCTCATGTTGGCGGACGTTGACAATACCTGTGGTTAATATAAATGTGATTATCAGTCGGGTACGTAGTACTTCAGTGTTTATGGTTTAAAGTGTGGATGTGTGTCGGTGAGTTTAATTGTGGACTTCCATTCGTCACCACTTACAATTTATTAGTCTCTGAAACATATTTACACATGTACCTACACCTGTATATGCAAATATATTGCTATATTTACATATAAACACCTGCATTTACTTCATACATGTATCTACTGACAAGCACATCAGGCATACCCGTATCCTATCTGACGCATACATCCTGATCGGATATGTCGTTGAGATCAAATAGTATTGACACAATGTTGATAAATAATAATAATTAAAATTATAAACACAAAAGGAGCGTGGGTCATAATAAGATTTGACCTATATTTTTAATTCGCAGAATCGTTACACGTCTGGGATTTCTGAACAGTATCGAGAGATATAGCATCATTTGTGGCGACACGGGGTGAACAGGAACGGTACGTATTTGTGTGAAGATTCATTTATGTAATTATTTTACTGGGCCAGCATGATATCATACAAACGATACTTGCTCATCCGATATTGTGTGGTAAGATTTTAAGTTCACATACACATATATTATTACCATACAACCACACATGACCTCCCTGTCTGTTATTCTGTTACGGTGAGTCAAATTGATCCAATGAGGAAAAGACGAGTTGAATTTTTTGGAAAATTAATTAAGACAATGGTCTATATTTCGGTTAACTGAACTCGTACGGTCATTCTGCATAGTTATGTAAAAATCTGTGAAATTGGATTTTAAGTTATTTCAAGTTATTTTCTACTGTATACTTCTGGTAAGATGTACATTTGAATGAGCATAAAATGTATGTTGTATACTGTCCTGAACTATGTTACACAGATAGTAACGATTTATAGCATCTACTGAGGACTTGTGAGTAATACTGATTAAAGGGGGCTTCATATAATTCGTACAAACGGTGCGTTTGGAGGATAGGGCTTGTTCCGGTTCATTGTATTGTGATTGCCGGTGTGTACAATCGGTCACACGAACACACATCTCTCACACGAACAAAGACGCATATTGTACGGAAAAAACACTAACTCAAGCACACTAAAAGAAATAAATGCGCTCACACTTACTTACAGGAACCTATGCTACACAATTAAACTGCAGGTAAGTTCTCGACTATACATACTATTATGTTACATGTATATAACATATTGTCTAACCGGCTGAACCTTCAATTCAGGTTCGTCCATATACAACATTTCTATTTTCGTCTTGTACGTGAACTGTTTTAAGCGTTAATATTTTGGTAGTTTACATTATGAACGAATTACATTTTACTATTATTTTCAGTCTTGTTTTGCAATACCCATTACATACATAAGCTATTCAACTGGCTTCCTCGATATTGCAGGGGTGACGCTCACCCTATTATGAAACAAATTGAAGGTACAGTGTTGGTCACCCTATGGATGAGCCATCTATTAAACTTAAGACTGCCTATTGCCATTCACTTATTCGCAGGAATCGATGATATTTCTCAGGAATCACATACAGCTGTATTTTTAATGTACAGATGATCACCCGGATTGAGTTAGCAAAACGGATTCTTGAGGAAAGGCCAGAATCAAGTGATGGATGGATAAAAGACGAATCATTGGAAGGTGTCAAACTTGGAAATTTTGCATGGAAACGTCAACGAAATGTTTTTATAAGGATGCTCCCAGCATTTGAGAAATATCGTTATGAGACAGCAACTAAAACGGTGAGCTACGTGTATGAAAGGAGATTTCCCATGCGGAGATTTATCATCTATTATTCAGTTTATAAATTACCCTCAGCTTCATGCTTTTGTCATTTAATCTTGTGTACATTGTATATGTGTATCAAAAGAACTTCTCGCATAAACAATAATATTACCTACAACAAACATCCTGTATTAAACGTATACAAGTTGACGGCAAATCTTGTATGCGGGCATGATGTATAGATTCAAATTTTGATTTCTGTATTTTCTTTTGTCATTTTCTGTTTGTTTTGAGGGTTTATTTAAACATTTTAATCGGGTTGTTTTTCTCCCTTAATTTTTTTTTTATTTATTTATTTTTTAACTCGATTGTAAGTTTGTTTGTTTTTAAATTGTCTTTTTTTCAGTTGGGAGAATATCTTCAAAGACGAAAGGATCGTCTTGAGTTCACATTTAAAACGGATTGTTCTAAAACGTCATTAGCTGCGACAACCCTCAAGAAAAAACAAACATGGAATGCTGGTCTTATGAACACAATTTTTGGAGGGAACGCTCACCACAGTGATAAGATAAAGATACCAGCTATAGATTTAACCATCACCAACATCAATAGAAGATACCTAGAACATAGTCTAAACGCATGGTAAGAAGTATTTGTAGGATTAACTGAATCATTTAGATTGTGAAACGTGTTATCATCCGCCATGAAATTGTTAAGTTAAAGCATAACCTTTATGCTATATCAATGAAATTGTTCAGTTAAAGCATAACCTTTATGCTATATCAATGAAATTGTTAAGTTAAAGCATAACCTTTATGCTATATCAATGAAATTGTTCAGTTAAAGCATAACCTTTATGCTATATCAAACATTTTAAACCTTTTGGTTTATGATTCAGAAACAAAATTTAGTGGTAATTTTCCGAATGATTCAGGCATCTTTCCCCATCCACTCGTTTGGTCTATCTTTTTGTTACGGTAAGATTTTGTTCTCATGAATTGTCATAAAAGTCAGTATGTTTTCTTGACATTGTATTGTTTAATTACTAACTTGAGAAGAAAATTGAGATATTAAGAGAATTTTGAGCGAATTGTTTTATATTATTTAAAGGTCTTAAAATCTTTTCACAAATACTCTTTGTTATAAATGTAGGATTTTGTTTGTTCATAAGGAAACTTGACATGACTTCATCTTATATCAAAGAAGAGCAAAGAAAAAAGGGTATCCCCTGCATCATCAGTGAAATCGTTAAAGCCGCTATTCCTAGGGATCAAGCTAACAAAATGGCTTATGCAGAAAAAAAGCAACGAATTGAAGGAAAGGTAAAGGGGACCAGTGCAGATGTAAGTATTGGAATAATTAAAAGGATACATTTAAACATTTTTCTTGCAGTCATTAACTGACATTTTCCTGCTGTCATTATTCTTACGTATATCGGATAACTTTAACACTTAGCCCTCCGTTAATTGTTAAAATAATAATAGTATGTTGTAGGTGGGAACAACAACGCAGTTAAGGTTCTTTGGTTTCGGTTTTGTATCTTCATTAGGGCCCCGCATCGATATTTAGATTCCCTTAAGTCATCATCTTATCCGTCCGTCCTTCCGTCTGTCCGCTTTTGATTTCCGCACAGTTACTTACTTATAGATGTTCACGTTTTGTGTGTGGTCCCATATAACCAGTAAAATCCGGCAATATTTGCAAGAGTATCGGGACTTTGAATGCCAAAAAAATACGTTTTTATGACTTTCCGCACGATTACTTTCGTATTTGTGTTCGGAATTTCACCAAATTTGGTGTGTGGCCTCATATCAAAGAGAATTTTTTAAATTTGATATGGTGATACACTTTGAAATGTAGCTGTTCAATAGGGGTTAATATTTGTTAAGGTCAATGTCACTGTTACTAAAAATATACACTGCGGGGGGTTCAGACCTAATCTTTGTTCTAATTTGACATTGCGATATACTGTAGATTTTTTAATATAACTTTATAAAGTTGTTAAGGTCAAGGTTGCTGTTACTTAAATTAGACGGCGGGAGTCGGTCAGGCACATGGAAGCCCCCTTGCTACTTGCTAAACTGTTAGTGTGTTAGTTAATCTATAGTGTTCTTATTAAGTGGTGATGAGAGTACCTTATTATTTTACCTTTTTCCCGATATAAGGAAAACATGGTCCGGGTCAAGAAAGAATGAAATGAAACAGGAGGGAAAGCCATATTATACGTTCACAATGAACTAGATATTCGCTTAAATTAGATGTAAAATAAGTGGCAAAGGGTCATGTAGTTCTCTGCGTATAATACTGGAACTGCTGAATCTAGTTGTTGGGTTCCACATCGGTCTTAGCAGTTCCTGTAACCAAGAGTCTGTATGTCATTTCTGATATTTAATTTGTACTATAATCCAGGTGCTAGCTAGCACAGCTACAATTTTTGGGTAGGAAGTTGATTGATATGGGAAACATTAATAATATGATTCACTGTAACTTCATAACGTAATTATTTTCCTTTGCAAGAACAGCTAGCAAATGGCTGTTTTTACGCAGCATATCTGGTTTGCACTGTCACTATATTGATAAAAAAACTTGCACGACACAAGCAACCCTATTTCTCTCAAACTCTCTGTACGAAAGGGGTTGTTTACACAGCAATTGCAATTACGATACTCCATCGCCTATCCCAAATCTCATGTTCAAATTTTAGCTGAATCACTGATACTTTTTTCAGGACTCTGTTAAGACAACTGGTAACATTGTAAGAGAGACAAGCGAAAAGACTGAGGGATATATACATGGAACCGTTCTCTACAAGGTGTTACCGCTTGAGGTAGACCCGACTGGTCACATTGAAGCAAAGGAAGACTCGAAAGGGTTCGTAAAGGGCAAGGTTTTGTCAAAACTTTAGTAATTATATCTCGAATATAAGCAACACTTTTCGAGGATTATGTTCCTTTGTGATGCAGTAGTTTCGATAACAGTTTGCATTTCCATAGTATTCAGCGTAACCAAAATATGTTATATTTCCGCTAGTGTGCAATATTTCTCGCAGAATGAAATATTTGTCATTTTTTGTTGTTTTGTAACTAATAAACTCCCATGCTAGTGAGCCGTATTTTTATTCTAACCAGAACGAGGCCGGAAGGCACAGATAGTCTATAAACTCAACTATACAATTTTTGTAAATAGACGAAAATCCTATTTGGTATAATTCCCGGAAGCTTGCAGTATTTCAGATAGAAGGTTATATTTTCTGGCAGTATGTAGTTTTGGTGGTGGTTAGTATCGTTTCCGGCAGTTATTAGTATATCCTGTGTTATGCGTGTATGTTATATGTCTTGCAGCATGTAATACTGGCGTTGGTAATATCACTTCCAGCAGTTTTCTGTTTCCGATGGTATATTTGTATGCTATATATCTGACTGGATGAAGAACTGTCGTTTGTATTGTACATGCAAATAGTATTATCGGTGGTGTGCTATATTTTCAATAGTGTTTATGGTATCATTTGTAATATATCTTCTCATTGATATTGTTACAAAATTCATAAAAAACACAAAACGTCTGACATGATTACTAAATTAATAATAGTGAAATGCCTTGTATGTAGTATACACATGTGCACATTATCAATAATTATAATTGTATTGCAAAACTAATAATTGTATAATTATACTTGTACCTATCACTGTGGTATATGGATGCAGGCATATATACACATATAGGTGCATGTGCATAGGTATAAATGAATAGCATGATCCTCTTATGATGCAGTCAGTGATGTGATATAATGTCTCGTTCATATGTATATGTCAACAGTTGTATCACAACTCTAGCAAATTCATCCCTGCAAGGACTCTGACATTATCATATTTAATCATCATGTATGAGAATACCTCGAAAGTGCTCAAGGTTCAACTATCTGTGGTCTAGGTCTAAGTCACTACCACTATACTACATGTATATCTTGTCACCAATCTAGAGAGTTCACTCCTCCGTGGAATTTGACTAAATTTGATATATTGGTCATGCATAAGAAGACCCTAAGGAGTTTGTGTTTCATAAGGTGAAGGTCGTCATCACTGCTTATAAAAAGTGAAGTATGACAACAGGTTACTTACAATATATTTAGGACAGCAGGTTACTTACAATATATTTAAAGTGTTATGTACATACGCACCACAAGTGAGAGGATTTGTACTTTTTCGTGGTATACCTTGCTGTCAGCGTAATATTGTTCAACTAAATAATGTTATATTCCGATAAGGTACATGTACATGTACTGACTTTTAATAATTGTACGTAATTATATACCAGTATGTATGCCAAGGTGGTAGGTGTGCATACATGGATGATGAATGATTATATTTTTAAAGTTATATTTCAGTAATTGTAGATGTCAATTGGTATGTTTCCATGCACTGGTATTGCATATGATAATGTATACTGCGGAGCTGTGCACCTTGATGAACACTGATGCTTTGTGAGAAGCATAGTTAATTGTTATACTTATGAAATCTATATTGTTTGGATTTCGTCTCTTTTAAACATTGGAAAAATAACATGCACTTTTGACATGTGCGGCTGGGAGCTATGTGTGCAATTAATTCCTGAGTTGAAGACTATAGGGTGAAGAACCCATGGACTTTACAGTCAGAAATTCGGGGGTTGCTTCGGCACTTATCCCTCAGCTGCATTTGTATATATCAGCAGGTATCAAACTTTTATATCATTGCAAAATTTAAAATCAAATTCAAAAGTATTATTAGTAAAATGTTATACATGATCAACTTAATCTTACTGTATATTACTTAATTTCCATTTCTACCGGATTTAATTTCAATAAAATGTATTGTAATATGGAAAGAAAAGTAATTAAGAAATAATAAGAATAGCAGCTTGCATTGAATGTAACAAATAAACCGTATGAAATCAGCAAAAGGATTAACTGTTTATTGCAAGCATTAACTTGAACGAACAACTTTGCGTTTTCCAAGAATAAACTATCTGACTTTTGGTTAGTGTAGCATGTCAAACGCCCCTCTTACTACTATCAATACTCTACTTAGCCTGTTTAATCTACATACATTCATATAAACTAGTATTGTCATGAAATATTTGGTGTTAGGCAAGGAGATGCACTCTAAATCACTAGAAAATGTATTTTTAAGGAAAAAGGCACTGTGGGATAAGTATGAAACTTTTACAAATTTAATGTCATCATATAACTAAACTCCTTGCAAAGTTACATGCTTATCCCCAAATGCCTTGTATGAACAATCAGAATCAATAAAACAAGTATTATTGTATCTTACATGTACATGAAATTACCATCTAATACACACTAAAACAAAAATTACATCTGGAGGAATATTGTATGCGATATAGAAATCGAAATCTAAAAAAGTATATGTATCAAAACTGCACATGTCTCATTATTTAGCCATTGCTGTTTTACTTAAAGCGAACAGATCTGGTTAAATACCTATATACAGAATTTACTATAAGCAAATAAAGAGATGATTGGATTGTGTTTTTACAAACACTATATTCGTGGTGACCCACCCCAGCAGTGTTTCACTTCACCAATCCTTTCTCATACATGTACATAACTTCTCTCGTGTACATCGGGGATCTAAAACAATCGGCAAAACAGAGCGGTCCGTTCTTATTTTGATCTAACATGGAGGATAAGGTACACACATCTTTAACTGAATCTTGAAGACATTGCAATGTAGGTCCCGTTTGTTAGTCTGGAAACAACGATTGGTTCCAAAAAATTCAGATTGTTATTTCCTCACTACTCGAGTTAATGTCGGGGGTGAGGGTTTACTGTATTGTTAAACACAGTGAAAGGATTATTAGCATCAATTTTATTATGTTTCTATTGTACATGCAAGTAATGGATAAAATATATNGGTTGATTCCCCGTTCATCAGGCCCCGCTTGCACGAAACTTCTTAACTCCGTTCTCAATGCTTAACTCTGAGTATATGCTTAACTTAAAGCATATGCTCAACTTTTGACTATCTACAAAATTCTTAATTCTCAATTCTTAGATTTTAAGCTGAGAATGGGCCAATATTTGAGAACGGTCGTTAGCATGCTTAAGTCTCATTCTTAAATAAGGCGGACATAAATCGAGCACTTCATCGTACGCTTCAGAGAACTGTGTCAAGTCGTTTATTCAGAAGCAAAGCGGGTATCTTTAACATACTTTCATGGTAGGCCTAATCAATGATGCACGTGGACCACTCAAAGACATACAGAGGCAGGTCCTTTCTGTTTTCACATCTGACAGCTGTGCTGTGTGCGACAAGACGAAGGGTTTCGCCACACGTCATGCATTCGAGACACACTCCGGTCGCTACTGGGCACGGCATTCCAACGCCACATCGAATGTCGATGTGTGCTGTTACCGCCAACTTTAAATATTTGCAACATGACAAACACTTGCTAAATAACGAGTTATAAATTCTATGCACTCGCAGTTCCGTCACCACAAACTTTCATAACGTAAACGACTGTCAAGGCCCCCTATCGGCGACCTCTATTCGTAGTACTAAATACTGTATGGGACTCAATGTGTCCGCCTGCTCACCATCATTCGCCATAACTTCGTATGAAGCAGTATTATAAATCCAGTCTGCTTTGGTCAATTGCAATACCACAATCCGAGATATTTCCAAAACGTGATACATAATTATCAATAGACAATGTAGATTGTAGGTCTCTATTTCATGATATTCATATATATTTTTATTAATACAGTCACTGAATTTTTTAATGTAGAGCACAAATTTAATTAAATCTCAGTTACACAAGACTTTACAAAGAACACGATATATCTAATTTTATGAGAAAAACTGTTTCTGTCAATATAATGCAAATTAAAACTCTGCTATAATGCCCTTGGGCAAATTAAAAGTCTGCTGTTGAACACTATAGACTTTTAATTTGCCAAAGGGCATATCTCTTATTTCTTCATTTTCAAACAGTGATTGTGAGTTTTGAGACTTGCTTTTAATTTAAAAATAATCTATCAAGGTGTTTTAACTTTGACAATTGCTAACTAGTATTGTAAAGCTAAAAAAATATCTGATTATTTGATAAAAAAATAATTTGATAATTTTCATTATCTTAATATTTACATTTTTTAAATTTCTTTTGGGGTTGGGTGTTAAGTGTAATTAGATAGTCATGTTTTCACATTCAATATATTTGTGTGTGCTGTTTAAATTTTAGAGATAAACTAACTAAGAGCCCTATATTTTCGTCTTTATTATTTTCTTGTTAAGTCAAATTTATTCAGATATTCCTCCTAATGTTGGTGGTACATGCATGTTCAAGGATCCATATCAAATTTTGATTTTAGTTTATAAAAATGACACAAACAAAATTTTCAGTTAGACTTTATGGTATTCAGACTTTTTTTTATTATCTCAGACATTAACAAAAGTATCTATTCTTGTAAACTTCCAAAATGAGACAGTCTTATAACCCGCCACTCACTGATCAGCAGTGTATGTACAACACTATCCACTGATGACATGTGTTCAGTTACAAACTGTGGCAGAGGATGCTGAAGGTTTCTGAAGGGCAAATACCTGAAAAATATTAAATAGGAAAAGTTAAAGGTACTATAATGGTCTATCTGTATGTGAAATAGAAATGGATACATTTGTCATATTAATTAGAATTAAACACTAATGAAATTGGTGACCACATTGCTACACATTTTGAAATTAGTATTTTTAGTGATATATAGCAGGTGTCCCACGATACATATAGCAGGTGCCATACTGTACATGTAATTTACAGGTGCCCATCTGTACATAAAAGGGTCTGTTTTGTACATGCATTTAACAGGTGCCCCTCTGTACATGAATTTAACTGAATCTGTATGAAGATCTGGGAACAGGGTTATTTTGAGAAACAACTTAAGGTGGTTAACATCAATTTGTCAAATCACATCTGAGCCATGCTCATAAATCTTAAAAACGAAAAATTAATGTATAAAATGTATAAATAAAATTTCATTCTTCATTGTACTTCTTTAGATGACAGTTCTGCTTATACAGTTTATAATGGGAAGTAATCTATATAATGTATGAATAAAATAAGCATATTTTTTACAATACATTTTTTTTTTTGTGTAAAACTATGTATAAAATGTATTCATCGCTAAAACTATAGTGTGATAAAATCATTCTGCAAAATGCGGAACTGATTATATTACAAAATGTCAAAATAAAACTAAAACTCTTTTGGATTGACGTATTTAGGGCAAGGAGAAAAATTGAGGAGAAAAATAAGGGAAAAATATGTGCTTCTGGTACAACAATAAGATTACAACAGGAAATATAAGTTTATTTTACAGAGAATGGTACAATAAAGGAATAATGGTAATTAATGATCTAATCAGAGACAGAAATACTAATGCAATTTACACATTTCAAGAGTTCAAACAGATTTATGATATTAATATAAACTTGTTTTATGATACATGTACCAGGGTCTAATACCTGCATTAGAGAGTATATTGTACAACAAGATATGTCAAATGTAGAGGTTAGCTATCCATTTATACCAATAAATATAGAGAAAAAAAAAAAAAAATACAACAGGGATAAGAGATTTGTATAGCTTATTTTGTAAAAATGATACTACATGTATTTCAACAGGTAAAGAAATGGGATGATATATTTCAATTAGATGATGAAATTTGGAAACAAAGATTACCAAATTACAGTGGCATAAGTACAGAGTTAATCAGCATATTTTGACAACTATCAGGTAATGCATATTTGATTAAAGTAGGCATATATAGTGCATAGCCCTTACTGTGAACCGTGTAACACAGAAATAGAGACAATATAGCATGTATTTTGGCCTGGGGATGTGACAAAGTACTTTGAAAAAAAAATATATATTGAATAATGTGAAATTTACCAGCAGTGAAAATTCTTATTATATGATAGCAGTTTTACCTCTTTTGGTTGTAAATCTAACTTTACTACTGACTTATATTTCATATCATTTCATCATTTTACTGGTATATATGTGAATGTTGGTCACACCCCAACATCATTTTGTAAATGTCAATCCTTAGTCAAAAAGACAAACTTGGTTATGTGTACCTTTAAGCTTTGTCACAGCACAAAACCACAACATGTAACAGTTCATTTTGATTGAATCTCTGGGTCCACTCAGGTTAGAATCAATATAATAGGACAACTATATCTCTTACTTGAGCATATGAAGGGCATGGATATCATTTTCAAACAACTTTTAAGATTTTACTTTCCAAACTCCCTTGGAGTTTTATTGAGGCCAATTCAAATATCCATGTTCACTTTGAGACTTTGTAGGGAATTTGCTAGAAATGGTAGCAGTGGTAATAGTTGTCCTGCAACAGTGTATGATGTATCATATATAAAATTTCAAAATATATAATTTCATCATTGTCTGATTGGTCTTTATAAAAAATCAACTGCAACATAGGAGGATATGTAATTTGAATTTAAGTTTATTTTGGATTTAATCATAATCAGTCTATCACCAAATCATATTAAGTTAATTAATTTATTGTCGGAAACTAGAGCTAATCATTGTATACACTAAAATTGATCAAATTAGATGGCACTGATAAATATTGACTGACATATAATCTTCAACATAATTAAAATGCTTGTAGTCACTAATGTTTCGACATTAATGTCAATGTCTTTATTCAACATCCCTAGCACATTTAAAGTTGTAAGAGTGTGGTCTAGATCTCCTCAACACTAGTCAACATGCACATAGAAAGAAAACCATTCTCCATGTGTTGGGCTTTTAAAGTTTCGTCTAGGTGGCCAACTATTTTAGCATGCGGATTACGGAACATTCGG